CGAATCAGAGAGTGCAACTTGTCTAGCTTGTCCTTGGGGATGCGGAACGAGGCCGTGCCGGAATCACACAGGATACCGAGGTATGGCTGCACCGTAGTCAGCCGGAGGTCGCACTTGTGCAGAGACAGGAAGTGGCCGCACAGGAAAGACTCTCGCATTCCGCGGTGGGTGGCCTCGTCCGCAGCGGTCCACTGCACCCGCGCCGGCAGGCCCTGCGTAGCCACCGGATTGCTCTGCCACAAACCGTCCAAGTACGCCAGGGCCGGGATCCTAAGGAGCGAAGGAAGGCCGCCTTCGCATCGCTCAGCACATGGCAGCACCACGGACTCACAAAGAGCCCAAAGGGGAGCACGCACCAGCGGTAGAGAACCCCGCCATGCTCAAAAACGAGCAACGACCAAGACGAGGGGTACATGAGGATGTGGTGGAAAGCACTCGAATCGTCGAGGGAGGTCATGCAGCATCCTTCCGCGGCAACGTTAGCAACCCGGGCCACCGTATCCATGGAGAAAGCAGGGGGGTCAAGACGTGCGTTGAGCGGCCGACCATCGTAAATCATGCGCGGTCTGGTTTCCTCCACCGATAGCGCCATAACCAGGCGCGGCCGGGCCGCCCCCCCCGGGGCGCGCACGCCGTCCCACTTGACGACGCAACCGCGGTCCACAAGCGTTTGCATTTCCCGCGCGACGAAACTTACGAACTTGGGGGGGATGCGGTTGGAAACCGTAGCTCCCGGGAAGCGCTCCGGCCTATACGAGAGACCATCGGAAGGGCTGCGGTAGGGCTTCCGAAGGAAGTCCCGGAGGTCTCCTCCTTCTCGAAAGCAGGGCACCAGACGGCGCTGGTTAGAATGGTCTCGGAGAATGACCTGCTCCCAGAAACAGGTCATCCGTTCCGCCCGTCGTTTGCGAAGTGTGCGAATAACGTAGCCCTTCGAAGACGCCGTAACTGCATGATCTATTATCCGGGCGGACAGCTTCCTTCTTCTGCAGTTAAGGTCACCTTCAGGGAACGTGGCTGGCTATTTAGCACGTCCGTCCAACGGACGTTTCCGCTCTCAAGTGGGTCGGGAATTAAGCAGCCCTACCTAACTAATACATTCGATGCCTTCGTGGAAACCCCCAACAATTCGGTGGAGATCCGGGGGTCATGTAGAATTGTTTTATTTTTGTCTGTTGTTTTGAGTTGAGCACAAGCGCGCACCTTCCCCATATTATTGTGGTCACTCATCATCATCACCATCTATGCAAACTGGGTCCCGATCAGTCAGTAACAGCGGACATTTTCTAGATCTCTTTGTCCCGAGACACGCCGAGCTGCAACGGCACTTTGTAGTGTTATCCTCTGCTTGTAGGCTACACACCAGCCTCCGGACATAACCGCTGCCTGTAAACGAGTATCAACGAGCGAGATGCCAAACCACCAACAACGAACACTTCATGTTGGAATTGTAGCTTATGAGGGGATACAACAAGGGAGCGTACGTGCGCAGGCCTCCACGCCGATCCTAACGGTAACTCGACTTCCCCAATTGCTAACTCCACTCCTCTATTCTTAAAACGACAAATCCTTCGAATGCTACTAACCTTTGTTGGTGAGCTGGAATGGCTCCTCGGTTGGTTCTGCGCGCTGCTCCGAAAACGGCGAGAACAACTGTTAGATTACAAGAACATTTGTTTGGGTGGAAGGAACGTGTCCAATCGATGGGGGTTCCGTGTCTGATGTCTCTCTTCGAAGACCCCGTGCTTACCGGGGGTCTACGTCGAAATATTATTGTAGCACGGCAAAAACATAAAACATTGGGGTTGAGCGCGGCTTCAGGTCCCCGCGAACAAAACAAAAAAAAAACGGGTGAAGAAATATCCTTTTGCCTACGAGCTAGAAGTTTTTCCTCCAAGCACAAAATTTGTCAAGTTTTTCCGGATTGACAGTGCGCGGTGGTCTTTTCATGGAATTTCATGGACTTCCATGGACTTTCATGAAACGTTCAGTGGACCTCCATGAAATATCCCATGGGCGCTCATGGAAGTCCGTGAAACATTCCATGGACGTCCACAGAGGAGTTCCATGACAAATTCCGTGAACGTTCATGGGCGCTCATGAACCCCTGTCATGAACGTCCATGGAATGTTATCATGAAACGTTCCATGACACCTAATGGAATACTTCCATTAAACGTTTCTTGGAGGTCCATGACATTTTCATGGAAGTCCATGGACGCTCATGACATTCCATGTAGTTCCGTCGAAGCCCATGGAAGTCCATGGAAGTCCATGGAAGCTAATGGAATTCGATGGCAATTCCATGAACTTCCATGGACTTCCTTGGAATTTTTCATGGACTTCCATGGGCTTCCATGAACCGTTCCATGGAAAAGTGCGAAAATGTACAAGACCTCGGCCCATGGGCTGCTCATGGGTGCTCCATGGACGGCGTAGAAAAGCTGCCACATATTGGTGACGATTGATGACGTTACCGTTGTCTTACCACGACCAAACGCATGTACTACATACGAAGACCAGATTGAATCAAGGTAGCGAGAGCCTGCTCATCACGTTATTCGATGAACGAAGAAGTTGTCTAGCGAGAAGAAGTGGTCTAGCGGAATAGAAAGACATGAATCCACCCCTGGGTGGGTACTCGTTCGAACAATATAATTTGTAGTTGTGTGCATGATACTCTCCTCCGCACTGTTGCGGAGGGCTAAGGATGACATTATCTCAGATGTCAGCCTTTCATGTGCGCTCTACTGACAGCGTCTTTCTTGACAGTATAGCCTTCGTGTCTTTGTTTCGCATGTGGTATGTTTATGTTTTTGGCTGCTTTGAGGGCGAGGCATCTTGTGTGTTGACCGAAGAACTATGTGCTACATTCTGCTCAATCTGTGATTCGAGATCAAACCCAAGAATTGCGTCATACAGTATCTCTTGCCAGTGACAGTCAGTGTAGAGCGAACTCTGCAGCATGCGTGGTACACGTCTGTCGTCCCACTACTGTACATCATCTACATGACGGCCCCTTTTCCCCTGACGCACCTTACAAGCTTGACGCTAACCCACTGAGATTATTGTTGGGACTTTGGCCTGCAGTACTAACACGGTTTTCGGGCGGAATAGTAGCCGTTAAGTGTTCTTGCATCGGATCGGGGGCGCGATTTCGCAACACCAGCAGTATTGCGACATCGTGATATAATATGTGTTTCGTAATCCCCTCTCTATCGTGAGATACGGAATGATGGCATTTTCCTGCTAGACTGGTTTTCAAAGCTCGATCGCTACACAACCAATATTGTGCCAACAGCAAGAACGTGTTGTTTTGGAAACGTGTCTACAACGGCTTTCGGCAGAACCATCGGGCTCTTTCCGCACCCCGTTGGTTGTGGATCAATCGAGCTTTGAAAGTCGGCCGGGTGCGTCTTTTGTCAAGAAGACACGAGGTGGAAAGTCCAACACACCCAGAAAAACAGGCTGAGGTATGCATATGCATATCTATACATTTTTCACCTAGGGACACGAGAAAAATAGCGGGTCATCACCAGTCGCTGGCTCATTGGGTTCATTGTCACGACTCGGTACCATATTTGGTACACGCTTGTACCCATATCACATGGTTCTCAGACCCCTCAATACAACGCCAGTCATGATGAAAACCCGCACACATGCAACACGCCATACATTGTACTAGCCTCGGTATTTGGAGGCACGTGCATTCCTCTTTCTCTGCTACCGATTATTATGTCTTGGAGAATTTCACAGACTCTCCTTTGACGCCGCCTCACGGGACCACAGACCTAGGCCGGAAGCACGTGCAGTTTCAGTAGCACTAAGACCAACATTCAATGATTGGTCAGCCGGTTGACGCGGTCGGCGAATGTTAAAGACGCAAACAAACACGAATCCTGCAGGGCTCGCGAACCCAGAGTCTGCTCCATAGATGGAGAAAAATACAAGACAACAAGCCAACAGCTACATTTCGGGCGTTTGTTTCGTTGGTCTTCACGATTCCTGCGACTATGTGAGCGCCTTAAAACTTCAACCACGGATGAATGTTGAAAACCTCTCGTGACATGTAAACACTGAACGAGCACCCCCTGGGCACCAAGAACTCAAGCAGCAGAAACCCTGGAGCTCATCAAACCTATTGGAGACCGAAGCTGACAAGAGGCGACAGCACGAAGCAACCAAAACGATGACGAGGGCTGACGGACCTACACCTCGTCAAAAAACCGCTCACGAGAGTACATATCGGACAGCACAAGCCTGCATGTCCGCCACGACTGCATGCATGTCCGCGTGTAGCTCTGGCACAGGTCTACAAACGAAAAAGGTACGGATCTTGCTTTCCGAGAGCGAAGAACATCCAGCACCATACCTACAGCACAGACCACAGACCACAGAAAAGTGGAATGGATCAGAGACGACAGGAAGCGACCCCGGATAAATCAAGCCAAATTCAACAATACTTCTACCACGAGACAAGGGTTTTCCAAGGCTTTTTTGTTTTTCGAAAAATGACTTGGAACTATAGCACCAACTTTTCATCGGCCACCCGCTTTGAGTGTGACGCATGTATACACGGCATCAATGCAAGGGTGCTCTCACTAGAACTTGAACTCCCTCTAGAGCGTAGACTAGACGCGTTTGAATTAACTACACCAAAAAATGTATTTCTCTTTTCCGCCAATGTCAAGCCCTCATCACACGTCGAAATTGAACTGGCCCGATAAAAACGACACATCAAGAGACACCCACGCCGTCCTTCCCGAGAACACCGGCGACAACGCACAGCAATGAAACCTTTGGCCTAAAGGGCCCAGACATGATTCCCAGTCTATAAACCTACGTACTCCAATCCGCCACAGGACTAGATCAAGCCGTCAAGTTTTCCCCAAATCCGCCGCCACCGCTACACGGCACTACGCGAGTCGCGTGCTACGCTACTGTACTTGAAAATAAGGGCGCCTTGTTCTTGGCCGGCTTTGCGCCGCTGCTGCTAGCGTTCTATCCCTTGTTGTCGGCGCTCGACGACGTCGAAGCATCCCAGGCGTCTTCGAAGTCGATGCCGTCTTTCAGGCAATGGTCCCACCTGAAGTTGTCGTACACATACGGCAGCATGTTGAACCGGGCATCCAGGACTGCTAGGACCTCCCGATTCGTGAGTTTGTTGCCAGTTTCTCCGTTTCCCGGCATGCCGGTCTTGATCTGCAGAGAGGGCGGGGGGGGGATCGAAAGCAATAGCGAGCGCGAGAGAGGGACAGAGAGATGGTGCAAGAGCAACGCGCCGAAAAGCACAGACAAGGGGGTTCAGGTCAAGTTTCGAGCAAGCCAGAGACACAAGAGGTCGGGTCTTTGGCTAGGGATAAACGTTAGTATTGGATTGGATGAGCATAGAGTCTCAACAGGATCAATAGGTTGGGAGAGGTTCAGTGGGTGGATGATACATTGGTGTCGAGGAATGGTTCAAACAGATCTACAGGGCAGAAGTGAACTCCCTTGCTCGAGTCAACGAGGGGGCGAGATATATGCAGTTTGCACTAGAAGTGCAAAGACGTTACTCATTCCGTCACCAACCGCGTGAAATATTTACATGGCAGCATTTTGGTACGTTGAAACCGAGAGAAAGGAAGTATCAGTGTGTGGAAGGGGTCGAGAATCTTGAACATGGCTACCCTTCATAGCCTGTGTCCCAGGGATACGGTGAGTCTTGTCGAGGCCTGCGATGGTGTGCGAGGCTCGAGCAGCTATCTTATGCCGCTCGACGGCGCTCCTAGCCATCCACTTACCTGAAAGGCGTCGTCGTCGCCGTCAAGTAAGTCAAAGGGGAACACGTCGCTTCCGCCGTGGCCATGACAAGTGTCGCCGTAAATGCCGGTCGTCTCGACGACGATATTGCCGTCAGAGTCGGTGTAGGAAAACCTGCGCCCCGAGTTCAACGAAAGAAAGAGGGTACATATATCGTTACGAAGGAAAACCAACGCCCAGAAAACGAGAACAAGACACACACGGCTGTTGGTGACGTAGTGGGGGTAGGTTGGACGTCAGGGAAGGTACCGATAGGCTCTTGAACCTCTTGGCGGCTTGTACAGTAGAACACAAACGCAAAAGCTCTGCCGCTGTTAGTTTAGCATCAGTGGTCAAAACACACGCGAGTCAGCAGCGTGGTCACTCACTCGGAGTCCGGCCAGTGGAAGTCGGTGAGTTGTCCCGTCAGCGACGAGAACATGAACAGGCGTTCCATCGTGGGGTGCATCGCCCAAAAAGTGGGGTCCAGGGAGGAGCCCGCCTGATGATGATCGTGGTGGATCAATCCGATAGGGTACCAACGTGTAGGGTTAGCTCAATGGAGAAATGTACGTTCACGCTCGTAGTATGCGTGCATGCGGGACCGATGCGGGACCGATGCGGGAACGATGCTAGAACAGTGTCGACAATAAATGTACACACGGCTACCACCCGACAGATGAGGCGTCGATTTGAAGCTAAACGGCCAAGTTGTGTATCGCGTGTGGAACGAGAATTTCCACCTGTCTCCCATGTGGATACGCCTATTGTCGCCTCGCTCGACGCCAGAAACACTCGTAACCTACGCATACTATGCTGTTGCCCAAAGATATGACATGAGTGTACCCCCCATCCAGCGTGTACTGGCTCTTTCGACAGGGATGCACGCCAAACGCCTCCGAAATTGCACGAAAAACCAGAGGAGAGCTCTACTCCCAATACTCGGGTGCGACCTCCACCGTACAGGGGCGCGAGTGGCCACAAACCCCTAACCTACCACCATCCTGCTTGCTTGCCCGTGGAAGACAGAAAGTGCAACATGTACAGCTACGCCCAACGCTGGGGAAAGGAAAGGTGTTGGCCGTCCTCCCGAGCCATAACTTTGTGCCCGAAAACAGCACGCACGCTCACATGCAAGTGGTCGCCGTCGAAAATGGTGGAAGCACACACGGCCGCGACCACCTGGCGCTTGGTCTCGTCGTCGTAGTCGCCTATGACGTCGTCGAAATCCACGGTGGAGTTGGTGTAGATGGTCTTCCAGTCGTCTCCCTGGCTGAGGTCGTAGCCGAGGCACCCGCATTTACCCGACGAGAGGAGCTCGTCAGCTGGGGTGCCTACGGCGGCGGAGCCCTCGCACTCGAAGAAGCCGTCGCGCCAGAGGTTTTTACGCTGGTCGAAGGTTTTCAGCGAGAGCGAGTTGGCGTTCTTCTCCCCAACGAGGCTGCTGACGGAGCTGATGGTGTCCTCGCAGTTGAGCACCCCCCCGATCCAGGTGTGCACCGGCCCGTGAGGGGAATACATGCTCTTGGACACCCACGAGTAGAAGTCGTCGTAGTCCATCACCAAGTTGTGGTGTTCCTCGCATGATGGCCAACCGTACGTGTCGACAACGGACCCGTCGCACAACTTTCCCAATCCCCGTGTCAGGTACCTGTCGTTTTTAACGGTAATTGTTTGGTTTGTTGAGATGAATGTGTGCGGGGTTGGGCTATTGCGCGTGTGAATGGTCAAACAGGAAAGAACCGATGTTGTGTGGTTGTTGAAAATCGATATGAAAAGGCAAACTAAAAAGCAAGAGAGAGCTAGAGCCATTCCGCGGTAGGTGCATATCCACCAAAACAGGGGTGAACATATGGTAGAGAACTCACGGTGACGAGTTGATGGTCCAGCGAGAGCGGAGGAGGCCGTACACGTCCGGAATCAGTTCCCCAGGACTGCTGGGGTCCATCGCCGGGATCTCGGTGTTTGCCCAACGGCCGTCCTTCACCTGAAGAAAACACGAACCCGGCAGAGGAGGGGTGTGCGTCAGGGTGATGACCGCCGCACATCATGGCTTGAATCCCCTTCCTCCCTACACATAGATTTATTCCCACACTGATGAAAGTGAAATATCATCGGCTCAGGAGGGAGCTACAGTATCACGGTCTTTTCGGGAAGGTGGGAGCTAACACGGTTTCTGTACATACTTGTGGGTGGTGTGTCTTCGCTTGTTGGTCCGGAATTGAATTCCTGGGTACAAGAATAGCAACACCGACGCAGGTTTATGGCCCTTGGTATATGATACGCACATCACCACGATGATGAGCCCAATCACTCACCACGTTGTCAACAGGATCCGCCGTGCCGAACCAAGACTCTTGGAAAAGCGGCGAGTTGATCGTCATTTCGTTGTCATCGCCAGCGATTTCCGCCTCATGGTACTCGATGGTGAAGTCCCAGTACGGCACGGTCAGCTTGGGGTTCACACGCTGCAGGCTGTACTCAAACGTGTTCGTGAGCATCGAGTGGCTGGTTAAGAACCCAAGGCCGTCGTGGAACTGAAGAACGCACGACGTGGCGAGAAAGTGTGGGTGGAAGGGTTGGTGTATGCGTGTACGAACGAGGAAAGAGCGAGGGACGGGTGGGTGGGTTGTTTGACACCAGATTGGTAACCCTTGCATTGCTGTTGCCGTCACACTGTTTTTCAGAGTTGTTGTCGCCACTTTGTTCAGAGTTGGTCGAAGAAAACAATCTCGATTCTTGACAGCGACACCACCTCCGGGAGCCCAACAAAAACACGTTTCGAACAATCCGTTGTCTGCTCCCACGATACCCTCGGTGAAACATCGCCCGCTGAAGTTTGCACAGGGTCGGGGTTCACTCATTGGTTGTTTGGCTAGCTCCCTTTAGGCTCGCACCCGTGACGTGCTGATGATGTCCGTTCTCGCTGGAATGTTCAACATGCCCCATTGAAAGTCTCCAAATTGTGGTGAAAGCAACACCATTTCCCAGATCATTCCCAGTAATCCACTCGTTAGCCATCCAACCAGGGTATCTTGTAGAGCATGTATGGCTGTTGCCTTTCGACACAGGGAACCGTAGAAGTACAGGTTGGATATCGTACAACACAATGAATCCATTGCTAACCTATCCCGGACTCGTTAATGTGAACAGATGAGTTCGTCGTGATCATTGAAAAAATACAGTGAGCTTGTCTCCTACACAGAGCATTCTGTAGACATTTCGTTCATGTCATGTCAACTCACGTGGTCGCAGCTTTTGTTCTGTGCTGCCTTGAAGTGCAGGCGGTTGATGGAGGAAATATCCGCATAGCCGTCCCCGAACAGCTCGATTCCGTTACCGCCGCTCACTCGCACCGTCCAAATCTGGTGCATCTGTAGATTGGTCGATCGAAGAACGCCAACAACGGTAAGTACATTGTAGAACATGTGAAGAAGTTCAAGCAGCATGTTCCTATTATTTTTCTGCTGGTGATAACGAAAAACAATGTATCTCTGTTCAACGAATACCAACGTTTCTAACTTCCAAGGCATCCTCGGTACTGTTCTTGTCGGGGAAGCGGCTGCAGAAAGCAGACTAGGCGGCAACTTGTAGACCCGCAGCGAACGATGGACGGCACCGACCAACGCGTTTCGAGTCTCCAACGGAATGCGGGCAGATATCAATTGCCCGTATTTTCGGAAAAAATACAAATAGACTAAATACCGTGACCGGACATGTCTTGATGCGTTTGGGACGGAGTTTCGCACCTCAGCTGTACCAGAGATGGCTCGGCGCCTCAACAGCAGTAAAATAAATCACCTACACATGCAGCGGAAGCTACACAAACTGCTGGTGGGGACACGCGCAGGATTCAGTTCGCCCGGAGCGGCAAAGAATTACTGTAAAAACGTATGCGAATCTTTTGTGCGTGTATATTGTGTGTCTTCCAGGGCGTACTCTTGCTAACTGTGCAATATTTCTTTTTGTTTGACAAGAGTCTTTACAGTCGTCATAACCTGCGTGTCGTTTCATAGTTTCACACACACACACCACGTTTCACGCTTCACGCAGTGCGTTTCACACCGGTCGTTTCACATGGCACGTTTCACCCTGAATCTATAACGGCCCGTATACGGACGGCCTGTTCCCTGTGCGTGGTATGTAGGCCTGTATTCCGTAGGCGATTGCCTGATATTTTCGCTGGCGATTTTTGTTAGTGTACTGAAAACAGAAATCGCAAAAAAAGTCGCCTGCGGGTTACTGGCCTAGTGGCGCATGCATCATGCATCATTTTCCACGCCCACACATCGGTCGACTTATTGTACAATATGTTGGTCGTGATGTCATCAAGAAGAGCACTACTCACCGCATCCAACAGCTCGACTCGCTCCTCATCCGTGAGAGTCCTGATCTCCCTTCGAACGTACTTGACCATGACCATCTCGTCCAGCTGCCGCACGATCTCCCCATCGGGGAGTACCTCCTTCACAGTTATCATGCTGTCGTCGAGAACCGTCAGGGTTACAACGGCCTCAGCCCCGCTCGCCGTTGCGATAAGATCGCCCTCGTCCGTCTCACCGGCGTGAACCTCCCAGATGTAGTCGTAGCCGTCGCGCGGCGATGAAACCAGGAGGGTTGTCTCTCGGTGGGGTTCGATGAGCTTCACATCCCTGAGCCAGGTGTAGTCCTGCGCTGGCTTGCCGTCCCGGATGTGGTAGAAGTTGAGTGCCTCAAAGGAAAGCGGAGCTACTTCATCCGTAGCAACGGCAGCTACTTTTTCTTTTGGTGCCGGCAAAGCTACCTTCGGGAAAGGGCGTGGAGGGATCTGGATTGTCTTCTCCGGAGTACTGTCTGAAGGGGTTACGACGACGCCCACCAAATTAGCACCCGAAGTTCTCGGTGATGCCGTAGTGTGGACTTGCTTCTTGTTGTACGCCAAACCGACCACGGCAGCACCGAGCACAAGCACTCCTGCTCCAGCCAGACTCCGCCATCGTTTTGCGTGCGGCTGCATCATCGTCGGGAGTCCTTCGCTGATGTTGTCAAAAGACCCCTTCGTGGACCTACTACGTAACCTTGATTCATCGTTCTCAGTGGTAGACCCGTACATGCTTTGAGGCATTTGGGGCATGACCGCTCGCTGTCGTTGACTGCTCTGTACGTGATCCAAAAATGAAGGGGGGAAATGGGTTTGCTTCTGGCTTGGACTAGGCGTGTGTATGAACAGGGACGAAGGGGTGTGAACATAACGAGAGTCGTGATCGCACCGCACGCCAAGATGCGTCTTCTCGGAATATTTCTCCTCGTCTTGGTGCTCGTTCTGAAAATATTCCGAACGAAATTGTTCGAATTACCGATACCGCTGAAGACTATGTACTATGTACAACATATATCCGATCCGAATACTACCCATCGCAGGAGTAGATTTCTCTCCTATCGTCGCTCCAGCGTCAAACTTGCACCATACGACCTTGCCTGTCCAAGTGAAGAGCCCCGACCCGTGGCCACTCTGAAGTGAAGTACCACGTAGAACAAGATTGATTTTTTTCTGTTCCACGTCGTCACGAAGTTGCGGATAAATAAAATGTTTTTCTTGCCAGCAAAGGTTTCCTGTAATTTATTCCGCTGCCGCCCGATCTTGCCCGTCACGGACGAACCGTTCGCTCCTGCGACCCGCGCGTGAAAATATCGCCTTTTATCCGCGGTGTTTGGCTATAGGGTTGCTTGTGGTTGGGGAATATAAAGGGTAAGAAAGGTAGGTGTTGGAAACACTGCTGCTGCGTGCTGTGTCAGCCAAAGTGGCAAGCACCCCTCCCTGCCTCTCCCCGTGCGAGGTATGTATGCACGGGGCATGTTCAAGGTAGAAGAGGACCTCAAACAACATTCCGCGGAGGTACATTCCACACGATGCGTGCCCGCAGGAGAACTAACTGCGTAAATAATACGTTGTTTGGCTCCCAATCTCCAATCTTGGACCCACTTTGAGTATCAGCAGCGGGAAAGATTCATGTCCGCCCGTCGTGCCGTGGTGAGACCTCTCTCTCTACTGCTGCTGCTGCTGCTGTTGCTGTGTTGTCCAATTGCAGATCCGTTGGCCTTGCACAAGATGACTGAGTAGATCCCAGGGGCAGGCCGCGAAAGAGACTAGAAGGCGTGATGCCAAAAGAGATAAGGAGGACGTGTATCAGCCATCATCACCGCAGAGCGCCACACAAGATGCTTTAACGCCTCGTGTGTAGTGATGGGGTGAACCGAAAGATGAGTCTCCCAGCAGAATCGTTGGGTAACCTATACAGACAGATAGGGAGGGTTTTTGCGAAGGCGTGTTTTCCGAGATGATTAAGCTATAAATATATGTAGTTGATGAAGCTCGGGCGTCTATTCGTCAATTCTGTGTGTGGGATCAGGCGACTACATAATTACCTGTCCAACTATCGACCCACGGCATTCACACATGCATCCATTCCTCATGAGCAAACGATCACAATGCATGATGATGAACGCAACTTACATTGACTTTCTTCATCTAATATGATGAACACACCGACAGGTGTGGTGGATGTTCTTATTTTTTTTATGGTTGGTTTAAATATGACGGACTGGCTTTGTAGTCTAGGCAAGAAACTACAACACGCCTGCGTGCCTGCCCGCTCCCAAGAAAAAGAATATGCATATGTTCGTACATAAGAAACCGAGGCATGAGATTTTGGACAAACTTGGGGGAAATACCCTCAGAAATTGAGCATGTAGCGGCCGGTGCTACAGTACATTGATTTTGTATACTACCGAAGATATGGCGGGGTAAAGCCTCGGGGCGGGGTAGCGACTCAATACCTTGCAGTAGTCTTATCTGCGATGCTGATGGTGCACGAATCCCGACATTCACAGCAGCGTGAACCGTTTGTGGTGCAGCTACGCGTGCAGAGAGGGACAGGGGGGGTGCGACGGGCGCGACGATGGTTGTATGGGCGGCCCCCGTTCAAACACTTTACTTCCCGTTGGATGCACATGCACACACCCACGAAGAAACAAAATGTGAAGTCTTCCCGCTGTGCGGACGCAAACACGCACATCTGGGCATCCTGGAAGAGGAACACATGCGGCATAGACTATACCTGGCGGCGAGCGTATCACACATCACGCCGTCGAGGAGCACGACCAGCAGCGTAGACATAGGATTGTGACAAGACTGATGGCACAATTGCGTCAGGCTCACATCTTGCCCGCCACATTCATTCGTCTCAAGTCTTCCGAGTTTCCCGCCAAGTGAAAGGAGGCAGTCCACATATGCAACAAAGAAAACAATGCGCCTCGCTCACAACAACGCATGCCGCCCCACACGCCCTACAGTACATCGAAACCAGAATGCCGTGCACACATACACGAACCGTGATTCATATCGCCGCTCTCTGTCGCCCTCCACCGCAGTTTCAGACCACGCAAGGTAAAACTCCTCGTTAACGGGGCACCACAAGGTCACCACCCGCCACCCGTTTCCGAGGAACAATATAACAGCAGAGGCAAATAGAACAGGGTCTCGGTGTTGTGGAGAAGAAAAACAATATCCATGCTTGCCACCCGACGAGTGTTCAGACAGGAACCCACCGCACCCACCCCGTTTCGTCACTCTAAATCGTACCGCCGAACTACCGCCCTCTGCTCGCAGTATTTCGTCGTGACCAACCAACGCCACCTGGGTCTCTTCACGACAGCATGGCAGCACCACTTGCCAACTTTTTACTGGCTGTGGGGGGTAGTGTAGAGCCCGCCGTGTAAGCTTTCACATTCAAAACTAATACATTTGCCCCCCTTTGTTGCTACAAGCACATGCACCGACCGCCACGCAGTTGCGCCTCCCCCTCCAAATAAATTCAAGCACACACGGCCCGTCGCGATGCACGTTTGCCCGCTACACCCTCCTCCAAGAATGAACACCACAATTTCAGCCGATCACACAGCCACGCAATAACATCGACGTTTTTTTTGCTGGTGAGCTGATCAGCGCGGTTCATGTCCGTCAAAGAAACACGGACGCATTTCGCAGGACCATGCACCTAACATAAACACATTCACCTGGTCGCGCAGCCCACGACGATAAGTATCTTACCCTCCACAACTTTGGTCTGCGTCGCGCCCTTCGATCCGCGCTACTCTACAAATATACCCCATACAGATATATGACTCACACAGTCATAGACTACAATGAACGGCTGTCGGCTAGCAGTGAATACAAATTTTCATCCCCCGGATGCCAAAACTCAATAGATTATGTCATGACTCTCCTCCAAACTTCAGCTTTTTTTTCACATTTCGTTTTTTTTCAAGCGCTTGAGACATGACGATTTAAACCCAACAATCAACGCACCGCAGAATCATAAAATAGTCGTTTTTTTCACTCGTAAGATACAAATGTACTTCTGTGTGTTGGGGTGGGGAATAGCCATGCCATCTCCGCAAAGTTATGGTGGCAGGCGACACAACATATTTCATGAAAACCTTTCGTGCCCTGCCCCTTCTAACGTTGAGCCAAACCACCTTCCCGCTCGCACCAACGCATACGTATTCCACTTTGATACAACCCTGCATTCCGTCGCTAATCCCGTCGTATATGCAAACACATGGCTTTTAAACGAGAGAAAGCAAACCAAGGGGATGGGGGGGCGAGGAGGGGGGGGGGAGTGATTCACCCTTGAATACACTGCAAAACGCCACTCAAACACACCACTCCACAACAATACGTCAAGCTCCATCTAGTTCCACTCTAAAACTTGTTTGTTTTCAATGTACACAAGCTCCCGTGAGGGAGCTCACACGATAGCGTAGTCGACAAGAGCGGCATCTTGTGGTTCACTGTCCCGTCGTCTGGTGGCATGACACGCCCGGACCGCCACCCTTGCTCGTGGAGCAAAAAAAAAAAAAAACTGAAGGAGCGCACGCAAACCCTCCAAACGTGCGGGTGTACACAACAAACAACAACGAACAACAACAACGAACAACAACAATAACAACAACAAAGAGTGTCACGAAACTTGCCGTGTCTTACACACCAAATGGTGCTAAACGGCTACGTCCTTTCGATTTCTTACAACAAGAGTATGCTACCTATCCGCCAACCAGAACTCATCCATTTTGTGGTCGTCCCAAATGAGGCACCGAGCGACCAGCAAACGGAAGAAACCGTCGGTCGTCGACGTCCGGGGGGCAACTCTCTCTTGCCTCCGAATGCCCGTCGGCTGGACTGAAAGACACCGTTCGCCTCAGACAGTGAACGACAGCAGTGATAACTCAAACAGAGGCAAGCTGCGTATGGCTGCCTTGAATAAACGCCTCCTCGCCCCCAAGGTCATGGCGAACTTGACATAGATGTCCTCCTTCACTACAAGTTTTTTATGAAACGGGGGAAGGTGACAACAGCTTCGTCCCAGTCGACGGGCCCCCTGTCGCATAGGCGTCCGGTAACGTCAGCAGCACACCTGTCTGGACCCAGTAGGTGATGGCTTTCCATGCGTCCAGAAGAAACAGCGGAGCCCCCAGCAACGGTCGATACTAGGTCCTATTTATCCCTCGGGGCGAAGGTGATGAGGTACATCGGGTAGGCCTGCCAGTCCTTGTACGTGACCTGCGAATGAAAAGAAAAACACCAGGAAGGTTAGTTGTGAAAACTGCCGAGGGGTGAAATTTCATGTGTGTCTGACATACATCCCCGCGTAGCGAGAGTCAGTTGAGAGTGCCAATTCCGAAGAAGCTCAAAAGGGAAATTCGTTAATAACACGGGCTTTCGGTACGACTTCTCAACCGGTGATGCGCGCATGTACGCGGGGTAACACGAGCTTCATAACCTTCCAACATACATCGCTTGATAAGCTTATCTGTGAGCCCAAGCGCTCGGCAAGACTCGCGCCAGGGTTTCGGAAATGGGTCCTAAACCAACACCACGCCAAAGAGTGAAAACGCGGAAACAACTGGGACAATCATGAACGGAGGCAGTAACTGTTTTTCTAGCATGAAGGTATGAAAATTGTAACCATAGATGTAGTTGTGTTTAGAACAGGGTGTGGACCCACACGCGCGGAATGTGGGCTGGTACTGATCTCTACCTTCGAAATTGACTTGAGTCATACGATAGTGCTATGCTACATCGGTTATATTCAAAACACCCCGCGTTCATCGATGCTGTAGGTGCCTGCGTACATGGGTGCGCTGTTGACAGGCTTACCTACACGTCACGAAAACGCGTCAGAATTAGCATGACCAAACAACGCTAGAGAATTTTCTACTCCGAGGGGACTCCAACAGCGGGGGCGTATATAGTATGTGCGACCCTTCACGTAGCGTCGTCTGCACGCCAACAGGTCTGGCCTTTGGACATGATCCAACTTGGTAGCTGGAGAAACGATAGCACGCATTCCAAGTCGTGCGTGTGGAAGTGCATAATACAATCTCCAAGGAAGCGACGCTCGTCGGAAAAGAAAACAACCGCCGACTCATCCCACATGCTGAAAAGCAGAGCCAAACATGAAACAACTACATCCTGCAAAGCAGTGCCAAAGTGAACCAAGTAGGTGACCGAAAAGAGGCCACACAACGCCTTCCCAGCAACGGCAGTAAATAGATTTATCATATCATTTCAGAGCGTCGATATTACGGCACATGGTGCCGCTTGTTCGTGTTCGATCGCGTTGGACGTGGAAAACAGAGCTATTACTAGCAGCCCGAGTGCCCCGTCCTTCACCCACAATAAGAGACGGTGCATAGTCATCATTGGTAGTCGTGTCGTAGTGCCGCTCCCCCGTCCCCATCTTGGGCGGGATGAGCATGCTCGCGTCTCCGCGGACGAACTCGCCGACAAGCACCTTGGCCATGATCATCTGAGGTTGAAACAGACGATAGACCATGCCGTGAAAGAGAACCAACACCCGCGCACAGGGGGGGGGCTCAAGAAAAAGGTTGATGTTGCCAGAAAACATGCTTGGACATGGCAGGCCGGCTGATCCCTGCGAGCTGTACGTTGGTAACATCATCCCGTGGACGGGTATGTGTAGGCCGCTTCGGTGTAGGACCATCCTTCCTATCATAGTGGTAAAAAGGCATCAAGGAGGACGGGAGAAGCCCCAGCCCTGGTTGGTGGAGTACAGTTACTCTGTGAAAGTCCCTACTACGGCGTTCATGTGTACGATCGCAATTTTTTTCCTGTATCAAGTCATGTGTAACATACCGGAGCAAGGCAAGCACAACAACGTGCAAGCACGAAACTCGGGGGGGGAAACATGAAAACAGACAGAATGTGAAGGCGCACCTGGCCGCCACATGGCGGCTTGGCCATGTACTGAGCGGCAAGGAGTGCGTCCCGGGCAAAGTAACATCCCTGCCCGAATTTCTGTCGAAGGGGGCAAGAAACAGAACAGAAAAAGGCAGCAATTGGTATGTACAGTGAATTTGCTTGAGTGCATCGCTGGACTTCGCCGAGTTCACTGCAAAACTGGGGGGGCAATGTTCATGCGCAGTCGGAAGTAGAGGAGGGGTCCAGCTTTTACCCTGAAGTAACGGCAGGGACGACAGACCGCAAATCACGTAGTACCTTCCACACCACACCCACCAAGATACGTTAGAACGGCAAACGCCCATCTCATCCACCGTGGACAGCATCAGCACCACGCTTCCCAGACAGATGGAAAAAAATACAAGTATCCAAGGGGAAGGATTCAGTATTCATTCGATGTTGAGATTGTAAGGGCGAGTGTGGAAAGCTGTACAGGGCACACCCAGTGACGTATGTCAGGACAAAAACAATTTTCCTATGTATGCAGAGGCGGACGGTCGTACATGTGCGTCACAATGGCACCCTATGGCAAGGCTCTGCCGAAAATAGGATCGAAACAAGAATCTACCCAGCGTCTGAAAGAGTAAGAGCTGCATAGAAGGGTACACGATAAGTGAACCGAACCTCAATGTCAGCCAAGGCAAGGCACCCGGTCGTGCACGGCTGAGCGTGTGTAGTGGACAGCGGATTCGCATGCCTGTCCCGCTCGTTTCGAACCCTGCCCGACAGCAGCTTTTCGTGAAAAAACTGTTCGGTCTCGACAACAGGTGGACCTTAATCCCCCGCAAAAACAAGGCTCAGTAGAACTAATTACATATTAGCCGAGGTTGACGACAAACAAAACATACCAACAGGAATGTGTAGCAGCGACAAACGCCCATCAAGAGTCGCGAGGCTGTGAATTCCGGGACAAATAGGCGGATGCAGTGACTTGTATGCATATGACGAAGAAGACGACGGTGTCCATACTAAGACTCACTCATAAATAGTCGTGTCTAGATGTGCGAACGAACAGACCCCTCTCTCACCGCCCCGTTGGTCGATCCCGCCAGTCTTTTCTCGAAACCCGTTCGCATGATGGTGTTGATCGCGTGGGAACGAGCCCCGTGGAAAAGCATGTGCTCGTTCCCGATAGACTGGTTTCGGTCCATTCATTCCACCGACACGAGCAGGGGGGCAGAGGAGAGGTTAGAAGGCGATAACACCAGTACGTGTACCTGGTACTCGCTAGGACTACGTACACCGGTGTTCGCATTGTGTCAAGGAAATTCGCCAGCCTTTAGTAAGTGCAAGGGATGTGGCAGGGCTTACTCCGCATACCGGGCGCCTAGCACCCAGCAGAGAATGAGACAACTTTGAACATTCCATCTGTGCCACGCCATGTACAGAGCGACCGACCACGAATAGGGACCACTACTACTACCGGCCCTTTCCGAAAAAAACGCGAAAGCGAGGGGAACGAAGGCGACGGACAAGTACCAAGCTCCAAACAGAGACTACCCCGTCGAAGTATGATAAACGACGATAGCCGAAAAAGAAAGATGTACGGCGAGGAGCGCGTGCGGGCCTGACACGTGCAAGCACGAGTACACAACACGCACGAGGGACTACCAAGGGCAAAATCCGCTCGGCCCGAAGCCGCCCCCTTTCGTCGTTGATCGGCCAGGCACCGCCGGATGGCGCGGTCGGTGGTATCTACTATACTCCATAGTCAAATGAAGCAAGACAAGAACGCTCCCGGCCGCAAGCACAACACGGCGCAAGATGCGCAGGTAGATACCTTGGCGTTTTGTGAGTAGTGCTCCCACAAGAAGGAGTTCCAGATGTGTTGGACCCTGATCACCGCCGAGTCTTGGTAGGAAATTTCCACGGCGTCTCGGACCATCCTCTCGTCCCCCTGCATCCCGGCAAAAAATGGCAAAATCGCAGGATTAAAGTTGCGGCAGTGCCAAAGTGAAGGGGGGCTGAAACGTCCCCAAACTAGTTGAATCGTCTGGTCTGATAGCTATCGACGTACGTACCGGCCACCAGCGCCTAAAGGCAAGCTTCGAAAAATAATACTTACTACTGAAATCCGTTTGATCTCCGTGTAGCCAACGGGGAGGAGGATGAGCTAAAGGCTTCTTGTGGTCAGTTACGATACCACGCCTGAGCCGTTTCACACCTGAGCCAACTAGTACACATCAACGGACCCTCAAGAAAAGAACTGGGTGAACACCAAAACACGTACTTCGCAGTGCGCCTCCTGAGAAAGCCTAAAACAAATGGGAGAACTACAAACCGAGGTGTGGTGTTTGTGTTTGTGGTGCGGTGATGGTTACCTCGGACATGTCCACGAGGCTGACGGTAGTGCCCGCGCGGAAAGGAGTGAGAGGCACGTTGGCTGAGGGGCACCGGGGTAGCGGGGTCACCCTCCGGTCCGTGACGACGCGCTTGATGGCCCGCACCATTCCCGTCGCAGCGTTGCTCTGTCAGGGTATCGTAGATATCGTAGATTGCAGGAAAGTGGAGACGGGAATGGGCGACACGGTATGAAAACAGGTAGAGAGGAGAGCAAGACGAGAACCGAGGCACGCGAAACAAAACGGGTGTCGCAATGAATGAAACAGAAAAAAATGGTGTGCGAATGGAAAAAAGAACGGCGACCACGACAACCTTAAAGAAAGAAACGGAACAAAAGGGGTGTATTCGTGGAATTGTCAACGCAATTATGTAATTTTCGGTGGAGCCGCCTGCCTCCTCTCTCTCACTTGTTGTCCATCCATTCGTCGTGTTTGAGCAGAGTCATCTCTCTACGCAAGTTTCACGAGTTTTCACAGCCCCGTATGCATAAGTCTATGGGATAATTTCATGACAAAAGCTCCGTCTGTTTGTGGAGTCAAGATATGGTACGGGCACGAGTTCCGAAGTATCATCGCTTCAAAACTGCTTCCTGCAACAACCAAAGCGTCTGCTTTAGCCTATCGAAAGTACCCTCTTTCTCCTTCCACCCAAAACTCTATTCAACGAAACCGGCCAATCTCCTCCCACCGCAAGCGGCGCCGTAACAATGTCTCTCCGCCCTCATTATTACGACAATTGGCTTTCCAAGCCCGAACCTCATCCCCGCACCCCGATCATCACAACGCCACAGCAGCACATATGTGTGCACACAAACGCTCACACATGGTCCCAGATAATGGCACTTAGAAGGTTTTTGTGTTTTCAATCTCACTGAGACTGGCGTATATTCAATGCTCAGCCGGTTAGCGCGGTCGATGTTAACAATAAAGACACACACACATGCACATGTGCCACATGGTCACTCGCCTGCGTCATGAGGACAAAGTTGGCGAAGTAGGAAAAACCTCCCGTCGAGTACGACGCTGAGCTTTCCCCGTTCGACTCCGTCCGGTGAAGGAAGGCGTGCTCCAGGCTGTTGCTGGCGGCGCGTTCCATGGGGAACCAGGCCGGTATCCCGCCGTTCACGGCTGGACCCTGGAAATACCAGTACCCCGGGGAGTGGAGCCGTTGCGCGCTGTTGTCCTGCAGCGCCAGAGTGTGGTTTGCAGAGCGGGTCGGGAAATAGCAAGAGCAAAATAACCTGAAACTGCGTGTGTATAACGTATGTACAACTACGACGCCATTGCGGTTCGACCCATGCCGAAACGTGTGCAGCATGCAGTGTCGTCATGAGGTTTCCCGCCTTCGAGGCCGCTAGTTTTTTCTTGTTCTTATACTCCACATGGTCGACCATACCACCAATAACACCCAAGATAGTGCTGCCCTTTTCAGTTGGAAGAATCACGTGCGTCTGCGGCCGCCTTGCGGGATACCGCGGGCATCACCGGGAAAACCGTGTGCTATTTGGTACATACCCGCCAGCCTCGCGGGGGTGAACTCACGATTGCCTCGATGGCCCTGGACACTTGCAGCACATGCTTCTCCGACCCGGCAACCTTGACGATGGCACCGTCGATTCGGACGGACACGTCGTCGCAAGAGGCAAAGGCGGAGGCTAGGCCCTCGATGGTGGCCTTGTTGCCCTGGTCCGTCATGAGGACGCCCATCTCCTGGCAGTGGACCGTGCTGGTGATGGAAGAACAAGGGTGTAAGGGAGGAAAACGGGGGAACGAGAGTTAGAAAAGCGGCCGCTGGTTGCTGCTGCTGCTGCTGCCGCCGCCGCCGAGGTTCGGTGGTACAGGTGTGCGCAGCAGCAAACAAGGTAGAGGTTGCGTGAACGACAATCGATTCGGGGGCATTACTGCCGCGTCCTGGACTTTTCGTCTCTCGTGACCAAAGACCGGGCGCTACTTCCTCGCACGTAAGAAACAAACGCACTTATTAAGTTCTGTTTTCGTTCAGTCACCTGATATCCCCGTGTACGCATACAGAGGGCTTACGCCGAGGAGGGGGGGGGGTGCAACAGCGGTGACTTAGGCCGTCGCGGCATCGCAACCTCTCCACCGCGAAAATTTTCGTTTGCTCAGTCTCCTGGCAGGTGGCAAGTGCCGTGATGCGCTTGCGCAGAGAACCACGAGTGAAAAAACAAATCGAACGATGCCGCGGGCAAAGGTTCGTTCATGGTCAAACGCCGCCAGACAAAACTGCCCTCTGATACAATCCCCCCACCTGTTCTCACGTGGGAGGGGGAACCACTAATCAATCAACCTGTCTACCTGCGCTACTACAGTATTTCTGTCAAGGTCGATAAGAATAGGATAAGGATGGGCGATTGCCCTGGCCTCCTCCACCCAGGCCAAAAGCTCAGCAGCGTGTAGGTGGTCACCGTCGTTGTCTGACCTGAACATGTCCTTGACGACAGAGGCGGCCTGCTTCGTGGCCTGGTGCAGGAACACCCACCCCAGCTCCTCGCAGAACACGAACGTCATGTCCCGCCACACTTCGAACCCGCAAGAGGATCGAAAGAAGTCTTCGGCATCGCCCCCGCCCCCGCCACCACCACCACCACCACCACCACCACCCTTAACCTTAACCGCAGCGCCTCCTCCAGCTCTGCGGCCCCTGCCGCCGCCGTCCCCGCCGGAGCCAAACTTGGCGATGCACTGCTTTTGAAGCACGCTGATCTTTAGCGAGTCGACGCCGTGTCTCTTGTAGCCGAAGGGGACCGGGCACTCAATGCCGCCGGAGTCGAGGGGGCTGAAGCCCTGGCGGCTGACGTGGCGGCCCGCCCAGGTCCTGTCGAGGAACGCCTGGATGGTGTTGGCCGTGGGCCCCACGGCTGCCTCCTCCCGCCTCAGCGTGAACCCGAGCTCGACCAGCGCTTCCCTCCTCTTCTCGACGACGAACGCCAACTTTGACGCCTGGATCTGGAGGCGGAGGTCAGCCAGCTTCGCGGCGTCCTCCTCGAGGGTTTGATTGGACAAGAACGCCGATGCTACGTCGAGCCGCGGCGACCATGACGCTGGCGGCGGCGGCGGCGGCGGCGGTGGGTGTTGTTGCTTGCCCCCCTGCACGGGCTTGGAAGTTGGGTCTTGCGCTTCTTCCTCTTGCTGTTGTTCCATGCCGGCATCCGCTGAGCCGTCGGGACCCAAGGGTTCGTCAAGGGTGCCGGCGGCGGGGGACCGCTCCACCTGCAGCTGGCTTCGTTCTTGTCTGAAGCGTGCACGCTGCGGAACTTGTGGACCACCTCGCGGCTGTCAAACAGATTGGGCACAGAGGAGGTCCCGATACCAATAACATCGCGAAAAGACACGCACATTTTTTCGACGGGCAGGAGGTGCGGGGAGGGAGGGGTGTCAGCGGCATTGTTCCAACCTGGTGTAAAATATTACTTCGTGAGTATGCATTGGAGCGAATTAACGATAAAACTACATTAGGCCCCAGTGAAACATCTCGGGTAAAGGATATCAAAAAGAAATAGAGCCTATCGCGATGCCAAGCACAGTAGTAAACCAAACAAGAAGAATCAAACTAAGGTTGTACTGCTATAGTGGGCCGTCGGCGAGCCAAGTCTATACAGCGAAATGACAGCCTCGCTAAAACTGATTTTAAGTTTTGGTAGGATACAGCAGTAGACTTGCGTACATAACAGAAGTTTACGTTGTCTAACTACTGCTGTGTACTGAAATCCTACAGCATCTCCAAACTCAAAACGGCAAACACGACAAGGGAGAGAGAGCGCTTCGCAGTATCCCCTTCATGACTATCTCGATTGGGTAGAGTATATTCGTGGTCCTTCTATGGTTATTATTATTTCCTGGGTAGGTTAAGGCACATAAACCCAGGCCAGAGGCGGCCCGTTGTTGTCAGACTAGATGGTGCTTCTACAAGGATAGCGCTGCATGATCCACAGGTCAGTCAGTTGCTGCACTGCGTGGAGGACAACGGACACCCGTGATTTTCAGGGGAGCTCACGCACGCACGATGGTTCCGTAGGAGGCCTTGCGCTTGTTGATCGGTGCCTTGCCCGCCGAAGTCGCGGCAGCAGGAGCAGCGGGAGCAACGATCATTCTCTGACGGCCCACTCTCCCAGCAGCTCCAATCCCACCGATCCGAGCTCTCTCCGATTGGTCGACACGAATGTAGATACTCCGCCGATAACTCCGCCTGTTCAACCTTCAACCTTCGAGTTTCTTCCCGAGAGCGTCCGAGGTATCACATAAATAGCAGGCAGACTCGTTGCACCTAAGGATCTCTTCCTCCGTCTCCTCCCTCCTCCTCCTCCTCTCTGTCTGTCCCTGTCTCTCTCGTTGAGACACTCTGGGGGAGGTGTTACAGCTCCCCAGGAACTTCGAGAAAGAGGCCCTGCGGATGGTACGCGGGTACTACTGTGGACAGATCCCGGGAAAAAGGTGCGGCGCAACTTTCCGGGCCGCATGCATGTTTTTTTGTTTCACATTTCACACCCCCGCGCGCTCTTGACGTGGAACCCCACAACCACAGCAGGCACACGCACCGGACACCACACCACAGACAACGATAGCATGGCTGAGCCCACGACCAAGAAGCAGAAGGTACTCACGCAGTACGAGCAGCTGGCCGAGGTGACCAAGATTGTGGCCGACACCGGAGAGATCGCCCAGATCAAGAAATTTGCCCCGACAGACGCTACGACCAACCCGTCCCTCCTGTACAAGGCATCGTCTGCCCCTGAGCACCAGGACCTCGTGAACGATGCCCTCGCCTACGGGAAAGCTCTCAAAGGTTCGTGCGGCGTGTGTGGCCGTGCTTTGCGACGAGCTAGTCGTGGTCGCGAGAGAAGGGGAGTTTGGTGATTGCGGTGATGGGAAGGCACCGCGGGTTGTTTTCAAGTTCAATTTGCCGACTGCTCGTTGAGGCGCAGGTCTGCTTGCAGAGGCAGCATGCACCAAACCACGCCTGTCTGTGTCGGATCTCTCCATGTAGCTCACACCCAGTCCTTCTGAAGATATGCTGTCATTGTGGACTTCGCATTTTTACCTCGACGTGCCCTGTACGGGATCATGAAAGGTGTTTGGTCTTTTCGGCAAATTTAGGCCATTGTACCGGCTTTGGTACCGTGTGGGCTGCGCACCGTGGGCCCTGTATTTATTTTTTTTATTTTTTTTTCTTAATATGACACAACGAATCCATCTCTATCATAGAAAAGAGTCTGAGACAGATTAGCAATGAATTCATAGCGTCAGAAAGTACCTGTATGTCTACGATTTCCCAGACAGCATACTTCACATCAGCGCTCACAGCACTTGCACCGTTTACTCCAACTTGTGGTCACACAGAAGAGCCCCTCTCTACCCTCCCCTCCTGCGGTACTTTGCCTTCGATTTTTAATGCGAGCAGAGTTCAGCACTCTCTTCCCTCTGTGTGCACACGAACTAGTGATATCCACTAGACCAGGAGCGGAAGCGAGAGAAAAACTCACTTTTGCAAGAAAAACTCGCTTACGCCGGGATTCGAACACCTGACCTGACCTCTAGAAGGTTCTGGGGATACCAACGAGACCACCGTGTCGGTGGAATAGGTAGTGCCAGGTGCTGGTATAGTGCCGGTCTTTTAGGGTCGAACAAACTGAAATACCAAGTCGGTCTGTACTTTGAGTAGAGCCGGTGTCCGGTACAATCTCTGGACACATACCGGCACTATCAGGGCCTACTACTGTACAACTCGACTAAATATTAGAGGGCGAACCTTTTCACCTGCACTGCTGTCTGTCGATAGGTGAACACATACTGTAATTTGTAATACCGCACGCAATTTCGAAAGCGACAGCAGTACTGACGTTCGAGCACCCACATAGGCACATGTTCTGCTGTAGATGTTCTTGACCCGCGCGTGCGTCAGACCGATACGATCAATTCACTCACGCACCGACGTTGTATGCTGTTATATAGAATGCGCGTACTACAACATATTCGTGCATACCATATTGCAGCGTTGGTCATGTTTCGGATTCCAGATGTGGCGGCTAAATTGCATTCCGGTCATTAGTCTATGCTATTTGGAGCTCTAGCAATCTCTACCTGTCGTACTACTGCTGTGCGGCTGTGTCACCTCTTTAGTTGAAGGACTCCGATCCGGGTTTACACCGAACAACAAGAAAAGCTACCGCGCGGTGCATGACTTCATTTTAGCGTGCACGCGACAAGCGTTGAGCGATTCCTTCCTCCACGTGTGCCACACGAACATCAGCTTTGCCTACACTACGAAAATCGAAGAAGAAGAAGGACAGACACACACCCCTGACCCCGAGAGTCAAGCGCCCAAACTGCCCGCTAGAAGGGCTTCGAGGTTACCAACATGTAGTCACCGGGACGACCGGGCTTGCAAGCACGCCCATATCCAACATTCAGCCTAAAGACTTTTCTTCTCGTGGTCAACCTCACCGCGTTCCAAAATGACTTGTCATGAATGTGCCTTGTGTGTGTTCAGGCCTTCGTGCTGCCGTCGTGATATGACCGACCGCCCTCGCTGTAAAATACAAAGTAACGGTTCTGTCGATGTACGTCCGTCTGCTTCCCAAACCAAAACACCAACAGACGTCACCGACGACGAGCGAGTGGCAAAGACCATGGACAAGCTCAGCGTCAACTTCGGCGTGGAGATCCTCACGCTGGTCAAGGGCTACGTCTCAACGGAGGTAGACGCTAGGCTGAGCTTCGACACGGAGGCCACCCTGGCGAGGGCGCGCAACATCATTTCGCTCTACGAGGCCGCGGGTGAGGCGCTGTTGGGGGGGCGGCGGAATGTACATTGCGGCGGCGGTAGGGGCTGAACCGCTTCCGGGTACAATACGTCTCCATTGCGTGGACTTGAGGTACTTGCGAGCTCGGTTGCACGCATGAGGGCCTAGAACCAACCTTGTCCCCCCCTGCCCTCCCACCGCAACTGGAAAAAATCCCACAGGAGTCGACAAGTCTCGCATTCTCATCAAGATCGCCAGCACGTGGGAGGGTATCAAGGCGTGCGAGGTCCTCCAGAAGGAAGGCATCACCTGCAACATGACCCTCCTCTTCGCGCTGCCCCAGGCAAGGACAAGCAACGCCTGCTGCAACTCCCCGTTCCCTCCCCCCCCCCCCCCCCCCCGCCGGGGAATTTTTTCAGGGGGTTTTCCCCCCCCCCCGGGTGGGGGCCCAACCCCCCCCCCCAAAAATTCCCACCTTGGGCCCCCCCCCATTTAACCCCCGGGGGGGCGGCCCCCCAACTTTGTTTTCATTTTTTACCCCCCCCCCCCCCCCCCCCCCCTTTCAGGGGGGGCCTGCCCCCGGGGGGGGGCCCCCCCCCCCCCCCCCCCCCCCCTTTTTGGGTGGGGGGGGGGCCCCCCCCCCCCAAACACGTAAATCCGCCCCCCCCCCCCCCCCCCCCCCCCCACCTCCCCGCCCCCCCCCCCGAAGCGCAACCCACGACCCCCTGTCCGCCCTACATTTACGTTAAATCGACAGATGAAGACGGAGTTCACGGACGAAGACCGAAGGCTGGCGACGGACCAGACGGACCTGAGGTACTGGCCGAACGACACCCAGGCTCACGTCGTGCGGAAGATGATTCCCCAGCTGGGCTACCTTGCCCGCGGCTACGACGAGCCGGCGACGTTGGACGGGCCGATCGGTACCAACATGGTGACGTTGCCCGGCGTGCTCACGCCTCTGCAGTGGGACCCCAAGAGGTTAGTTGTGTTGTTGTTGGGGCTGTTGTTGTTGTTGTTGTGCTGTTGGTGGTGCGGTGGGTGTTGATTGTGTCCATCGACGTTGTTGCGTTGATGTTGTGGTGTTGTGTGGTGTTGACCAATATTGGTGCGGATGCCCTTTTTGCCGCTTTTCGGGTATGGCTTCTTTTCTCAGGCAACACTCAACGTATCGAGCAGATAACAGATGATAGATAGCAGAGAGCAGATACAGATAGTAGCAGATACAGATGACAGCAGATAGCAGATACAGATGATAGCAGATGATAGCAGATAGCAGATAGAAACAAGACCATCCTTATCCCTCAGCAACAGCGTCGGTCGATGTTCTCCAGGCCCCCTTGGTACCAAGAAAACAGCAAACAGCAACAGCAACAAACTTCCACCTTTCCGAAGTCAACGTCTAAAGAGCTCGGCATAAACACCACGCTACAGCAGTACCAGCAGAAAACAACCGGAAGAGTAAGGTCCCTCGGGCGAAGAGATAACTATGGAACAACCCGCACAACATTACCCCCCTATTGTTGTGATTCGTCCCGTTTGTTCTGTTTCCGTGATGTGCGGTATGTGTCTTTTTTGTTGGCACCGACCCCGCTAACCGGCTGACCAATGAAAAGACGTCGCTTTCCAAGTGCGGTTGAAAACAGGAAGTGCTTCTTAATGCCATATTTTGCACCATGTGTTTGTGTTCTTAATGCCATTGTGTTGTGTGTGTCTGTGTGTTTGTGTTGCCGTGAACATCGTCGTCGTCGTGGGCATGGGCATGGGCATGGCAGGAAAAAAGAACCTGAGGAGTACGGGGAGTACATGGAGAGGGACGAGGACGACTTCCTCGGCGAAGAGGAGGACGAAGTCGAGAGCGACGGCATGATCGACAGGCAGAAGGGGCGACGGCTCATTCCGGGATGTAGTACGGTGAGTCGGTCACGCTTTGAGGCTTCCTGAGTTATCCGTTATCCGAGGAGGTCAGTTGATTGGGTAAGGGGTGCTAGAGATGCCTGGATTCGGATGGGCGTGTCACTCGGGTATTGCTAGTCGACGATAGTAACGTGAGTGTCATGCAGGGTGCTGCGGCTGCGGCTCAATGGCCAGGGAGGTAGATATGATTTGACGTGGCATCTTTTGGGGTACAGACCGTCCTGAAACTCGGTCATGTACAGCAGTACGCGCTGGCTGACCCTTTCGCTGAAACCGTCAAGGTACAGTTTGCGTATCCATTTTCCTCGTGCCCGCTCGTGCCTCGTCCTCACAATTGCTTTTTTTGTCTCGCGTTAAAATTGCGCCCAAGCCCCCATCCCCCATCCCCCGAAACAACATCACCATCCCAATATATCGAACAACAACAACTCTCTCTCAAAGAAAATGAATAGTAGTAGGAGCACGGTCACAAAACAACAAATCACCTACAGTACACCCAAAAATGCCTCCCTTCGAACACGTCCCTTCCCCTCCAATCCGGCTTTTCCTTGGAATGGTGTACCACAGACGAGGACCGGCCGGCAACAATCCCAAGGAAATTAACAGTAGAAAGAGCACGGCCACACACTATACTACGAGACACGCCCCCGTTCTTTAGTTAATCGTCCCCTCGTACCTCGCCCTCCAGGCTGGCTCCCCCTTGGAATGGTGCACAGACGAGGACCGGGAAAACCCCCAATGAAATGGACAGTAGAAAGAGCACGGCCACACATAACACATGAACGATAAACGCCTCCGTTCTAAAATATGTCATCCCCTCGTACCTCGCCCTCCAGGCCGGGTCATCGTTGGCATGGTGCACCACAGACGAGGACCGGGAAAACCCCCAATGAAATGAACAGTAGAAAGAGCACGACCACATAGTACACATCAACGACAAACGCCTCCCTTCTAAAATTAATCGTCCCCTCGTACGTCGCCCTCCAGGCCGGGTCATCGTTGGAATGGTGCACCGACGAGGACCGGGAAAGGATCCTCGAGGTAGGTTTCGAGTGGGACGAGTTCGGAGATGGGTTCCGGTGGGACGACGTCGTGGCCGGCCTTACCCTCTACAAGACCTTGTACGGGGAACTCCCAGATGACGACTTCCAGGTGCGGGTGACGTTGATTGGCTCGTTCGTGCGGACCGGGTTGTTGGGGCGCCCGTGGTTTCTTTCCTGGGATGGTGGTACTGCTGTAGGTCTCGCGATGGTGGTGGTGCAGCAAGGAGTTATTTTTTGCAGGTTGACTTGACTTGAAGCCCGTCGACCTGATGTATTTTTGAACGTGCTTTGGTCTTCCACGGAACGTGTTGACTTTGTTGAAAGCGCCGCTGCAGGCGGCGCTTTCAACGAAGCCAACACGTTCCGTGGAGAACAAGGCGCGTTCAAGAATACGTCGGGCCGACGGGCTTTGAGTCAAACTGAATTTGTGATTCCTCGTTGAAAGCGCCTGTTGTTTGATTGCTTTCACGGTAAGCACAGAATCGATGCATGCTAGTCTCTCATGCATAGATCAGAAGCCAGGATCCACTATAATAGCGATGGTTTTCTAGTCATATTTTTGTACGACCTACACCTGTCTTCCTGCTCATCTCCTACAACAGTAGTGATGTTTTTTTTTTTTTTCCTGTGCTCCACATCTCTATATTTATTGTTAGGTGCCTGTTGACTACGAGTGGCCCATCGAGCTATCGGGGATGCAGCTCGGGACTATCTGCAAGCAGATGCGCATCGGGGACATCTGGGCCAAGCACGTGAGACACGGACACCTACTAAGTGCCATGGGGATG